ACTTTCCCCACAAGGTCTTCCAAAAGTAACTCAAGAACTTAACATCACGATCAGAAACAATAGTCCTTGGAACACCATGTAAATGAACAACCTCTTTGAAGAACAGATCAGCAATATTGGTTGCATCGTTGGTTTTATGACATGGAATGAAGTGTGCCATCTTTGAGAATCTGTCAATAACAACAAAAATAGAATCGCGACCTCTTTTTGACCTTAGTAAGCCCAGAAAAAAATCCATAGATATAATAACCCAAGGTTCACTAGGTATAGGTAAAGGAGTATACAAACCATGTGGTAAAACTCTAGATTTTGCTTATTTACATGTTATGCACCTTTCACACATTCTTTCAACATCGCATCTCATATGTGGCCAAAAGAAGTGATTGTTCAAAATATCTAAAGTTTTCGTAACTCCAAAATGTCCCATTAAGCCACCTGCATGTGATTTCCTTATTAACAATTCTCTTAATGAACAGTTAGGCACACATAATTGATTTACTCTAAATAAGAACCCATCATGCCTATAAAACTTATCAGAAGCTGCCTTCTCACCTGCATTAAACACGTCACAAGATCTAGATCATTAGCATATAATTCTTTAATGTACTCAAATCCTAATAACTTTGCACACAGAGTAGAAATAAGTGTGTAAATGTGAGATAATGCATTAGCCACAATGTTTTCTTTTCCTTGCTTGCACTTGATCACATAAGGAAATGTCTCAAGGAATTCCACCCACTTAGCATGTCGTCTATTCAACTTAGCCTGTCCCTTGAGGTGCTTCAATGACTTGTGCTCAGTATGTATCACGAACTCCTTAGGCCAAAGATAATGCTGCCACGTTTCTAAGGCCCTTACCAATGCGTACGTCTCTTTGTTATATGTAGGATAGTTAAGTGCTGTCCCAATCAATTTTCCACTAAAAAACGCAATAGGTCGTCACTCTTGCATCAAAACAATGCCAATGCCAATACTTGATGCATCATATTCCATTTCAAAAGTTTTAGTAAAATCAGGTAAAGCAAGTAATGGTGCAGAAATTAAATTCTCCTTAATCAAATTGAAAGCATTTTCCTGTTCACTTTCCCACTTAAATCCGACACTTTTTTCATGATTTCAGTCAACGAAGTTGCACTTGTGCTGAAGTCCTTGATGGATCTCCTATAGAAACTTGCCCAACCATGAAAACTTCGCACCTCAAAAATATTCTTAGGTGTTGGCCATTCTTTAATAGCCTTAATCTTTTCTTCGTCTATTACAATTCCATCAGCTAAAACAACATACCCTAAAAAGACAATTTGATTTGTGCAAAAGGAACATTTTTTAAGGTTAGCAAACAACTTTTTCTTTTCTCAAAACCTCTAATACCATTCACAGATGCTCAATACGATCAGTTAAACTCTTACTATATATCAGAATGTCATCAAAATAAACAACCACAAATTTGCCAATGAAAGCACGTAAAACATGATTAATTAATCGCATGAATGTATTAGGTGCATTAGTTAATCCAAATGGCATAACTAACCACTCATATAAACCATGTTTCGTTTTAAAGACTGTTTTTCATTCATCACCTTCCTTCATCCTAATCTGATGATACCCACTTTTAAATCAATTTTAGTGAATATGCAAGAATCATGCAGTTCATCTAACATATCATCTAATCTAAGAATAGGGTGACAATACTTTACAGTGATTTTGTTGACAACACGACAATCAATGCACATACACCAAGTCCCATCCTTTTTAGGCACAAGTAGCATTGGTACTGCACATGGACTCATGCTTTCTCTCACATGCCCCTTCTTTAGGAGTTCTTCAACCTGCTTTTGAAATTCTTTCATCTCATAGGGGTTACTTCGATATGCTAGTCGATTTGGAATTGTTACACCTAGAATGAAGTCAATCTGATGCTCAATTCCTCTTATTGGTGGTAAACCATTAGGAATGTCCT